GTGTATATATATATGTATATATATGTGTATATGTATATATATATATATATATATATATATTTATTTATTTATTGGTATACGACTAGGCCTGTAATGTTTTATATATAGCTTATTAGTATTGACCAAAAGGGATTAAACTCTATTATTTAATTAGTATTTAAGGTTTTCAAAAACGTTTACCAAGCAGTGTAGCCTACAAAGATAAACCTTTGTTAATCCAGAATTGTTTTGACGAACCAAAGAAGTACTTTAAGGATAGTAGGCCAACCTCCTCGAACAAAATGGGTTGTTTAGATTGTAAAGTGTGTCGGGTACCTTTGTGAATTCTTAATTAGACTTTACTATAACTGACATGCTGTGTAATCCGATAGAAGGCTGCAACTCTCAGATACAATTATTATGGCGCTTAATTAAATCTTTAATTATTCATCTACCCTCTGTTTTACAGGCATGATAGCTCAATCAAAGCATTGGTGTGTACGGCGCTACAGTAACCATTTTGATATGAATGAAATCAGTCAGAATCTAAGGCCCGTATTCTCGAAAGCGAATGTAGTCCAGGATTATCTCATGATTATCTTTAGTACACTGGGCTAGTTAGCGCCGATTAGTCCTGGTTTAAATAAATATTTATCCCTGAACTAAAATTAGTCCACTTTTAAGAAGACGGCATACAACTCTACGAGACTAAAACGGTCCAAAATTGAGAGCTACCGGTACGGGTACAATCCCGTAACTAAGTGTGTAGATTGATGATTCAAAATGAGTTTTATATTCATAAACGCATTCATCATAATAATGTTTAGGCTTACACCATTTATCGAAACGTAAAAACGTTTTTTGGAAAGCATGAACAATTTGGGCTTCATTTATGTATGCCTACTGCATGACTAAGCCTATCATGTCTTTTTTTTTGTTTTACAGGGACTTTCGTATCGCAACGAAATTATTACAGTAACAACACAATCGCTGTTTTTTAAGTACACTTAATATCAAGAAATTAAAGAGTAGTCTACGGGTCTAGACCTTTAGTTATTGCAGCTCTTAGTTCAAACATGGAGCTGTGCAGTATACACTGCGAAACAGGAAGTTCGGCTACATCAAATTAAAAATGCTGCATAATATTAAATCTTTTAGTGCCAAATTGATTTGTAAGTTTATCTTACGTTTTAACGGCAGTGCATTTTTTGCCAAGACACATTCTGATGTGGATCTTTAGTATTGCTGTTGTTTTGAGGATTCCAACGCCAAATTTAGGCCTAATAAATGGGCCTAATTCAAGCACGTGCATCCCACAGTTAGGCCTATATTGTAATGTTATGATGAGGATATCGATTGAGGATGTAGCTTTTATAAAGCGACATCTTCGGGTATTCCTTCTTAAAGACAAATGAAGATAAAGTGAATCGTCTGACTAAGCAAAACAGTTTCTCTTTCCCCCCCTTTTTTTTTTATTGATCTTATGATTGAAATGATGGTTTAAAGCAAAGAGGCACAGAAATTTATAACACCTCGTTCAGGCTTCAACTACTTCAGTGGATTTATTTTTGGTAGTCATGTTAATCATTTATTGACTCGCGGCTTAAGCAATAGTATGTGTAATAGCAATAACTTAACGAACATACTATGTTTTATTCATTTGCCACTTAAAAACAGAGTATAACGCACTGTTCATGAGTTGAAAGTTCTTTTTCTTCTCTCAGCAAAGATCAATGGCAAGTTATTGAAGTGTTTAAGTCATTCACAAACACTATTTAAGACGATACCCGATGAAATAATAGGCCTACAAACACACAATCTATTGCAAGGTCTTGGTCCGGAGATCAATATAAATAAGCAAACAGTGGTCAAGATGTGGAGACCACTGATTATGACAAAACAATCCGTGAACTGTTCTGAGCAATGAATGATCACACCAAAGAGGAGACTTGAATGAACACAGTGACCAGAGAGAGTATGAAGGCAGTAAAGATGCATTCACACCAAATCCGAATTTTCGGATCTGAAGGCCTGTTGAACCGATCATCGGATCAGTGTGTAAGAATAGACGCTAGCGTTCAGCGCATAGGGAAATGTCCGAATTCCGGTTCACAAACAAGTGAGGACTGATTACGCCTCATTGGTCAAACTATATAATGTAGCAAACTGAAGGCCTAGGCCTACTTATTCTGATTGACATTTGCTCCCGGTTTATCCTTTGAGAATTTGCATGTTTTTCGGAGTGCATTTAAATTGTATTTCTTTGTTTTATGCACAAAACGGTGAACATTCTACGAAAGCACAGGCATAATAAAAGATTGTGAATAGAGATGTTGAAAATGCTCGCCTTCCAACCTATGGCCCTGGGTTCAAATCCTGTAAAGCCTCGCGTTTCTTGCGTTTGCGTAGCGCGTCTAAATTACTTTAGTGTGAACCCTAGCTTAATGTAGGCCTACCTGCGTTTGTGTCATGGCGTCTTTAGCTCTGTCTTTTCTTTGACAAAACACTGTTGTATGCCCATATATAGTCATTATGTGCTATATATGGTCGTGAAGTGATGTCACCATGACCATATTCAGGCATGTCACTTGTTTTAGTCAAATAAAATTTGATAATCTGGACATGGCTTAAATTATTCTAGTGTGATCACAGTTCGCGTTTGGATAATGAATTGTATTGCTCATAAAACGCGCAAAACAAATGTCATCTATCAATTATTTATATAATAGTCTGCAAGTTCAACTATCATGGAGTAATTCTATTTCATTACTCCATGGATAGAGCTTCTTTAACGATTTAACGGCCACTAAAACATTCCTTCTACCCAATAAAAATGTTGAGTATCAATCGAGGGCATTTAAGCTGGATCTGAAAGCCAATCAAACGCCAAAGAACTTTCAAAAAGCTATTCATAAAGAAGACCCAGATTATATTTAACTCATAAACCGTGATAGGTGTTTGGAAAAATAAAGGTCTCCCGTTGACGTTTTACTCATTTCTAATGTTTTAGTGCAGTATACGAACAGAACAGAACAGATACACAAAATTTTAATCGTTTGTAAGTTTAAGGATGTTAAAAAGTTTGACGTTTGACTTTCATGTAAACGAAACAGATCATAATCTTGAGGTAGGCATACACTTCTTAGAGCATACCAACCCAATAGAATGCTTACGAGCGGTCTGATAAATGTAGTGATGATGATGATGATGATGATGATGATGATGATGATGATAGCCTAATACACTGGAGCGGAGCCGTAGTTTTGTAGTTAATTGTGCTTGCATTCCGATCCAGCCCAGGGTCCGTGGTTCAAATCCTGTCACTACAAAAAATAAATACACTTCATTACCCAACACTCATTAAGATTCCCATCCTGTAATGGACTAGTTGTTTGCTGTTGGATGTGAAGCACAAGTCATTTATATATTACACACTATTTTATAAGCCAGTAAAATTATTTACAGGCTCAACGTTATTATTTTTTTGCCGATTTCGGACTCAAAATCTTCTTATTCTAGTCGTATTTTATACCCTTTATTATCGTACATTACACCTACTGCACCTCTGTACAGATACGATTTGTTGGCTTTCTTTTGTTTAAATAGCAACCTCATTTGACGTTTTAACTCGGCCTCAATTTGTTCTTATTTTGCTCTTATTTTTTAAGCAATTTCAGTCTCAGTGTTCTTATATAATATGTTCTTATAAAGAGAAAAGTGTATATGGTTAGGACCAATGATAATGGTAAAAATAATTTATAGGCATATTTTTACTTAAAAGTGTACAGGCAAACAGTTACGGTATAGATATCGGTCTCATTGAATGTTACGCTATGTCTCTACAAGAAAAACAAATAATATTCTATTGTATTCTAAAGACAATCAAAGATATAAGACATGTGTTGTCAATTCAACGTTCAACTAAATCACTTGATCTGCGTACTATTTACCATCAAGATTGCCAGTTAAACTGGAATCACTCCGAAAGAATTATATAAACTTTCGAGGTGTGTGGTTCCCGAATAAGCGCCAACAAAACCACCGGACGGTATTGATACTCTGTATGTTCTCCATTTGCTGTAATTTAACAGCACTATAAAATTGATTGGTAAATAAACTCTCTCACTCCTAAATAAACTTGTTGACTGGTCTTTATTACGTTAAAGACGGTCGTAAGGATTGTCTATAAAAGTGGAAATGAAGATAAACCCTCACCCAAAATCGTTGTGTGGTTTGTGTCCTCTAGTTTCATTACTCTACTAATATTTAGTACATACACTATTCCAATTAACGTGTACGAAAGTACGGTACACTTTA